AATATCAGGAGCTGATGAGCTGAATGAACACAGACTATAGATGGGTGAGACCATTCAGAAGAAGGAGTTAGGCTCATGATCTGGACTGTATTCATTATATTTCTGGGATAAGAGCAGCACATCTCATCAGTTAATGTCCCACTCATACAGCTGATTGAGAAGGCACATGCTTGCTCAGAGCTCTGTGAAGCAGAAGAAATCCTTCCAGTTTATTATGTCACATGTTTATTAATGTTACGATTACTTAAACTGCTGGTAATGAAATTGCCCATTATCTGAGACTGAATACAAAGTATCAGCTACTACAGACCTCGGCAGTAATCATGTTAATACAAGTTATAGTGTAAATCTCTGTTCATTCCCACTTAAAGTACCAGGAGGTCATGGCTCCACTTCATATTATTATTTTACTAAGAGCCCTGAGTGGTGTTTTAATATTTTATTTTCCATTTCCAGACATGGGGGCCCGCGGAGTTCTCTTCCTGTGTTTGTGGATGGTAGTGTGTTGCAGTAAGTATTTAATTCAAAATGGCGAACTTAACATTGTAAGCAATAATTTCTATCGGTTAGTGATATTCTGCAGAACAAATGTCAGCCAGCTTGATGGGACTTACAATCCTTACCTGTCAGAAGGCAATAGTCTGTCTATCATTTGTTCCACATCGAATTTAACATATAAAAACTTAAAGGTCCACGTATCTTGAGCAATCATATTTTTTTAAATTCTTTATTAGTAACATTTTTGTTACATTTTGTAAATAACAGAACAATAACAAACTGAAGATTTCAAAACTTAGAATCACAATAGTCAAAGCATATTATTATTATTCTTATGCTACTTATATAGCACCATCAAATTCTGCAGCGCTTTACAATGGGTGGACGAACAGACATGTAGTTGTAACCAGACAAGTTAGACACACAGTAACAGAGGGATTGAGGGCCCTGCTCAGTGAGGTTACATGTTAGAGGGAGTGGGGTATAGTGACACAGTAACAGGGGGATTGAGGGCCCTGCTCAGTGAGTTTACATGTTAGAGGGAGTGGGGTATAGTGACACAGTAACAGAGGGATTGAGGGCCCTGCTCAGTGAGGTTACATGTTAGAGGGAGTGGGGTATAGTGACACAGTAACAGAGGGATGGAGGGCACTGCTCAGTGAGCTTACATGTTAGAGGGAGTGGGGTATAGTGACAGTAACAGAGGGATTGAGGGCCTGCTCAGTGAGTTTACATTTTAGAGGGAGTGGGGTATAGTGACACAGTAACAGAGGGATTGAGGGCCTGCTCAGTGAGGTTACATGTTAGAGGGAGTGGGGTATAGTGACACAGTAACAGAGGGATTGAGAGCCCTGCTCAGTGAGTTTACATGTTAGAGGGAGTGGGGTATAGTGACAGCAACAGAGGGATTGATGGCCTGCTCAGTGAGTTTACATGCTAGAGGGAGTGGGGTATAGTGACAGTAACAGAGGGATTGAGGGCCTGCTCAGTGAGTTTACATGTTAGAGGGAGTGGGGTATAGTGACACAGTAACAGAGGGATTGAGGTCCTGCTCAGTGAGTTTACATGTTAGAGGGAGCGGGGTATAGTGACACAGTAACAGAGGGATTGAGGGCCCTGCTCAGTGAGTTTACATGTTAGAGGGAGTGGGTATAGTGACAGTAACAGAGGGATTGAGTGCCTGCTCAGTGAGTTTACATGTTAGAGGGAGTGGGGTATAGTGACACAGTAACAGAGGGATTGAGGCCCTGCTCAGTGAGGTTACATGCTAGAGGGAGTGGGGTATAGTGACACAGTAACAGAGGGATTGAGGGCCCTGCTCAGTGAGTTTACATGTTAGAGGGAGGGGGGTATAGTGACACAGTAGGAGAGGGATTGAGGGCCCTGCTCAGTGAGTTTACATGTTAGAGGGGGTGGGGTATAGTGACACAGTAACAGAGGGATTGAGGGCCTGCTCAGTGAGTTTACATGTTAGAGGAAGTGGGGTATAGTGACACAATAACAGAGGGATTGAGGGCCCTGCTCAGTGAGCTTACATGTTAGAGGGAGTGTGGTATAGTGACACAGTAACAGAGGGATTGAGGACCCTGCTCAGTGAGTTTACATGTTAGAGGGAGTGGGGTATAGTGACACAGTAACAGAGGGATTGAGGGCCTGCTCAGTGAGTTTACATGTTAGAGGGAGTGGGATATAGTGACACAGTAACAGAGGGATTGAGGGCCTGCTCAGTGAGTTTACATGTTAGAGGGAGTGGGGGTATAGTGACACAGTAACAGAGGGATTGAGGGCCTGCTCAGTGAGTTTACATGTTAGAGGGAGTGGGGTATAGTGACACAGTAACAGAGGGATTGAGGGCATGCTCAGTGAGTTTACATGTTAGAGGGAGTGGGGTATAGTGACACAGTAACAGAGGGATTGAGGGCCCTGCTCAGTGAGGTTACATGTTAGAGGGAGTGGGGTATAGTGACACAGTAACAGAGGGATTGAGGGCCTGCTCAGTGAGCTTACATGTTAGAGGGAGTGGGTATAGTGACACAGTAACAGAGGGATTGAGGGCCCTGCTCAGTGAGTTTACATGCTAGAGGGAGTGGGGTATAGTGACACAGTAACAGAGGGATTGGGGGCCTGCTCAGTGAGTTTACATGTTAGAGGGAGTGGGGTATAGTGACACAGTAACAGAGGGATTGAGGGCCTGCTCAGTGAGTTTACATGTTAGAGGGAGTGGGGTATAGTGACACAGTAACAGAGGGATTGAGGGCCCTGCTCAGTGAGTTTACATGTTAGAGGGGGTGGGGTATAGTGACACAGTAACAGAGGGATTGAGGCCCTGCTCAGTGAGTTTACATGTTAGAGGGAGTGGGGTATAGTGACACAGTAACAGAGGGATTGAGGGTTCTGCTCAGTAGCTTACGTGCTAGAGAGTGTGGGGTATAGTGACACAGTAACAGAGGGATTGAGGGCCTGCTCAGTGAGTTTACATGTTAGAGGGAGTAGGGTATAGTGACACAGTAACAGAGGGATTGAGGGCCTGCTCAGTGAGTTTACATGCTAGAGGGAGTGGGGTATAGTGACACAAAAGGTAAGGGTATGGCAGAAAAGTAGGTTGCCTGGGTGAGCGTCTAACGGATATTAGGGAGAATAGATAGGTGGAAGCAGCATTATGTAGATATTTCAAAGCAAGAACTAGTATTTTATATTGAACCTTATATCTTATTGGAAGCCAATGCAGGGACTGACAGAAGGGTGAGGGGTGGGTTTTGTGGGCGGACAGGAAGATGAGCCTCCCAGCCGCATTCATTATAGACTGCAATGGGGCAAGTTGGAAACATATAAGACCCCTGAGAAGCGGATTGCAGTAGTTGTGACGAAATGCCTTTTGTCCCTGGATTGTTAGGTGACAAGCTGCCCTTTGCCCCCGGCTTTTGGAGGAGCCTGATTGCCAGCCTCCTTCCTCATGACTATGGCCCTGGGGTGTATTGCCATTTAAAAAGACTATTTGGGGCTTATTGGCTTCTAAAGACAGTTTCTTCCCATTGGAATCCATGGGAAGGTGTGTTTCTTCCCCTCCCCCGTTTCCTGTCTATTGTTCACCTAGATTGGGCGCTCAGATCCGAGCTATCTGGGGATAGGTTAAATGTGGGAGTTCTGTGTAATAAAATAAGAATTATGTATTTTTATGTACTTTTACGTATTTTTGCTGTTAGTGTAAAATGTAGATATTTTCTGTACCTGGAGATAATTGAGTTTACTGCAGTGCCTTAAGCCAATTATCTCCAGGATGGAGAGGAGGGATTTCATTGTGTATGTGAGAGTATTATCATGTTAATTAGTGTTCCCATTGGTTTGTGTCCCTTTTGTCACAGTTTACCACCAGGTCCAGGGGGTGTGCCTCTGACCTGAAAACTTGTATATAAGGAGTAATAAGCGCTCATTGGAGTCAGATCATCTTGTACCTTCATGAAGTTTCGGCTCATGTTTGGGGGATTGGAGAAACTACACTCTGGGGATTGCTATAATCACTATACTCCCCAGGGTATAATCACTAAGCTCTACTAAGAGCTTGTTCCTGTTCCTGCTCTCTGGAATTCGGAGAGAGGTCGACCTGCTGGAAGCTGGACCCTGGTCCTGGGTCCAGAGTGGGTGGAGACGGCGAGACCCCAACCAAGCTGCGGCGGTTCGTGGGGTCTGTGGTGGTTATGGTGTCAGGCAGAGTGCTTGGAGTCCTCGGAAAGCACTAGGAGCATCCGTCGGCGGAAGGTACCCGGTCGGGGTGCCAGCGGTTCCGTTACAGTAGTCAAGGCGAGAGAGGACAGTTGCATGGACCAGCACCTTAGCCGGATTGGGTGTTTAATAGGGTTGAATGCGCGCAATGTTTTTGGGGTGGAAGCAGCAGGATTTGGCGATAGACTGAACATGAGGGATGAATGAGAGGTTGGATATAACTTACTTTAAAACATTTTATCTCCTGCTTTGTAAATTTAACTTATTGAAATTACACACATGACTCTTTACAGGAAGTGTTTAGGAAGTCTGTGCAAGTCACATGCAGGGAGGTGTGACTAGGGTTCATAAACAAAGGGATTTAACTCCTAAATGGCAGAGAATTGAGCAGTGAGGCTGCAGGGGCATGTTCTATACACCAAAACTGCTTCATTAAGCTAAAGTTGTTCAGGTGACTATAGTGTCCCTTTAATGCTATCTCTGCTGTAACACACAGTGTTCTTTAAAAAAAAACCTCACCTGAAAGAGGGGCATCAGTCAATGTATTTAGCACATTTTCAAGTATCTCTGTTCTTACTGTTCAGAATTTTAGCATGTATAGAATATATCTTTTCAGATTACATTAGGTAATGCTAGGAAAATACAGTTCAATGAGGAATAATTTTATAATATTATTTTAATAAATGCTATTTACTGGTAACAATTTTCCCAATCATCCATTTTTATTTCTTACAGGATTTGGATGGGCAAACACACTAGGAACAGAATTCATCACAACCTTTATGCAGAATGGGTTGGCAAGTTACAGCCAGCAGCGATATGAGCTTCGGATAACTGCTTTCCAAACTAACACCATAGTTAACATCACCGTTCTTGGAGGCATATTCAAGCAAAATCTCACTAGCAGTGCCGGCACAACCATATCAGTGGCACTACCAGAATCAGTGGAGAATAGAGGCAGCTTGACCTTCAGCAACAGCGTCCATGTGACATCCAATAAACCTATCAATATTCTCTCACTTAACCACAGGTTCCGTAGTGCTGAAACATCTATAGTGTATCCATTGGACAATTTGGGTACAACATATTACCTAATCACACCCAAGCAAGGCTCCACTGGTTCATATAAGGCATTCTCAGTCATTGCATCTAAGGAGGATACATCAGTTGATATTTATTTGAAGGGAGTGGTAGAATTCAAAGGTTTAAAGTACCCAGCAAACAGTGTTCTAACAGTACGTTTAGCTGCCTTTGAAGGTATCCAGCTTTTGAGCTCAGATGATCTCTCTGGTTCTAAAGTCAAGTCTGAAAAACCAGTGGCCGTGTTGAGTGGTCACACTTGTGCCATCAAGAACACTCAGTGTAGTCATGTCTTTGAACAACTTATGCCTGTTGACCTTTGGGGAAAGAGCTTCTATGTTGCACCGTTTTCCTTTCAAACAAAGTCTGATATTGTTTTCATTGTTGCAGCTGGCAACACAGAGGTGAGCTATGACTTGGGCACTAATGAAAGAAGCATTAGTATGGTGGATGGACAAGTCCAAGAGATAGAAATGCCAGGTGAAACACTATCAATTACAGCAAGTAGTCCTATACAAGTTATGTCCTTCAACACTGGTGGAACTGTCAGAAGATTTAATTATAATCCATCAATTATGAATATCTTAGATACAGGGAGCTACTGCTCCTCTTACTACATCTATGGTCAAAGGGACATTGACAATTACGCCATTATTATAGCCAAGAATGTCTCGGTTAACGGAATTACTTTTGGTGGACTAAGATTAAAAAATCCAGTATGGCAGCAAATTCATGGAACAGATTACATGTGGCTTCAATATTATTTTGGGACCAGTTTCATATCTAACATGGTGCAGCATCCCACTGACTCGTTTGGCCTTCAGAGCATTGGGGTTGGTGTTCAGTTCAGCTACGGCTCACCAGGTTCCTGTATAAAAGGTAAAAAAGATCTAAAATGAATTAATTATGGCAGGGGGGAGAATGCACTTCTATTGGATAGGGTTGAACCCATTCACTCCAGAGAGAGCTATCTACCTCTCATCTTAATAAGTCCATTGTTTATGTAGAGATAATTCGCTAATTGTAGCTCTCACGTGAGTCGTCTTCTCATGTTGGTCATATTACTAAGATAACTTTTGAGATGGTGATACACTAGATCCAGCAATCATTATTTCTTATTTAAATCGAATAAATTATGTATTTTATATAAGCACCCATCATAAAATCAACAATCTAGTTTCACTGGCCTAATTGTATTATCAAAGTTTAAAAATATAGTAAATATATTCTCTGATTGGAATGTGTGATTTGTATATGATTGCTTCCTTGCCGATTTCTGGCTTCCTGTTTGCTTGTGTGCGCATCAGGACCTTGTTGCCACCTACAGGAGTCTTAACTTGAAGAACAGCAGAATAAAACTGAAAGTCAAAGCTGGCACAGTACATCTTCTAAACCAGGATACGGCGACTGTATCTTCAGAAGGATATTGATACTTTAGAGAGGGTTCAGAGAAAGGCTACTAGACTGTAGAGACGTACATGGAGAAAATATTCGGTTTGGTTCGGCACTCCGAAATTCGGGACTTCGGCATTTCTGAACTTCAGGACTTTGTCACTTCGGTTCGGCACTTCGGTACTTCGGACCTTCGCCACTTCAGAACTTCGAAACTTCAGGACTTCGGATGTTCTCTTGCAGCCGCTTGGTAGATAACTTCCTAATTCCCACGGTATTAGGGAGCTATCTACCAAAAGGCTGAAAGACCTAAATTGGTCTTTCAGCCACATTTACTAATACCAGTGGCGGTTGGGGGCCCTGAATAAAAATGTAACCCCCCCGGTGACTAGGGGCCCCCATATCCCTAGTCACCCCCTTCCCCAGAAAAATTAATAAACCCTTACCTACCCCCCTCACTCTAAAAATAGTGAGGGGGGAACAATAACTAAGTATCTGTAAAAAATAAATAAAACTTTGATGTCTTCTTTTTTCTAAAATCTTCCTTTTCAGCCTCCAAAAAGGCCAAATAAAAAACCATAATGCACGTCGACGAAAAAGTAATCCATTTTCACCTATGGAGGGCACTGCGCAGACTGAACTCCGCATGGCGGGGGAAGGCATATAAAGCCTTGCCCCGCTCTGCAGTTAGGCTCAGAGCACTCTGATTGGTTGGTTTAAGCCATCCAATCAGAGTGCTCTGACAGGTAAATTAAGAGACTGATAGCTAAGTCTCTACATTTACCTGTCACAGCACCCTGGTTGGTTAGCTTGAAATCCAACTATTTAGAGTGCTCTGTGTCATTTTACACAGCGTGGGAAAGTTCTTTGAAAGGTTCCAACGCTGTGTAATTTGACTCATAACAACACTCTGATTGGTTGATTGAAAGCAACTAATCAGAGTTATGATTTAAATCACACTGCATGGGAAAATTCCAAAGAACTTTACCACGCTGTGTAAAATGACACAGAGCACTCTGATTGGTTGGATTTCAAACTAACCAATCAGAGTGCTGTGACAGGTAAATGTAGAGACTTAGCTATCAGTCTCTTAATTTACCTGTCAGAGCACTCTGATTGGATGGCTTAAACCAACCAATCAGAGTGCTCTGAGCCTAATTGCAAGGCGGGGCAAGGCTTTATAAGGGGCGTTATAAGCCTTGCCCTGCCCTGCGGAGCTCAGTCTGCGTGGTGCCCTCCATGGGTGAAGATGGATAACTTTTTCGTCAGATTTGTTTTGTGTGGTTTTTGCAACGTGCATTATGTTTTTTTTTATTTGGCCTGAAAAAGAAGATTTTAGAAAAAAGAAGACATTAAATGGTAAGTTTTATTTATTTATTTTACAGATACTTAGTTATTGTTCCCACCTCACTATTTTTAGGGTGAGGGGGTTAGGTAGGACTTTATAAATCTTTTGGGGGAGGGGGTGACTAGGGGTTTGGGGGTCGCTTAGGGGTAGGGGCCGGGGGAGGGCAATAGGTCCCTACTCCTTATTTTACTTTAGGGCCCTCACCCACCGCACAGGGGTGATGGCCGGGGGGAGGACAATAGGTGCCTCCCCCTTGTTCTACTTTAAGGCCCCCACCTGCCTCACAGGGGTGGGGGCCAGGGGGAAGAAAATAGGTCAATACCCCTTATTTTACTTAGGGCCCCACCCGCCCCACAGGGGTGGCGGCTGGGGAGGACAATATTCTACTTTAGGGCCCCCACTCGCCACACAGGGCTGGGGGCAGTGGGGGAGGACAATAGGTCCCCCATTATTCTACTTTAGGGTCCGCACCCGCCACACAGGGGTGGGGGCCAGGGGAGGAGGACAATAGGTGCCACCCCTTATTTTACTTTAGGGACCCCACCCGCCGGACAGGGGTGGGGGCGGGGGGGGGAGAGGACAATAGGTCCCCTTCCATATTGGTATTTAGGGCTCCCACTCACCGCACAGGGGTGGGGGCCAGGGGGGAGGAAAAAAGGTCCCCCCCCCTTATTTTACTTTAGAGCTCCCACCCACCTCACAGGGGTGGGGGCCAGGGGGGAAGAAAATAGGTCCCTACCCTTATTTTACTTTAGGGCCCCACCCACCACACAGGGATGGCGGTTGGGGGGAGGACAATATTCTACTTTAGGGTCCCCACATGCCGCACAGGGGTGGGGGCTGGGGGGAGGACAATAGGTCCCCCATTTTTCTACTTTAGGGTCCACACCCGCCGCACAGGGGTGGGGGCCGGGGGGGGGAGGACAATAGGTCCCACCCCTTATTTTACTTTAGGGTTCCCACCCACCGCACAGGTCTTTCAGCCTTCTGGTAGATAGCTCCCTAATACCGTGGGAATTAGGGAGTTATCTACTTACTCATTCACATTCATTCATTGACTGGCTAAGTAACTTACATTTTATATGAATGTGTGTTACTTGATTGTTGTAAGTATTGCAAATGCTTACAGCTGAATCCTGGCTATGTTTGTATACTTTTTATTTAAACTGGTATAAAGTGTAACATTCTTCATTCTTCCACTGGGTATATTAGTACTTCGGCAATTCTGTGCTTTGGAACTTCTGCACTTCGGCACTTCCACACTTCGAAACTTCGGCAACGTCAGAACTTCAGCAACGTTGGAACTTCGGCACTTCGGAAATTTGGTAATTTGTCAATTGAGCCATTCAGCCATTCAGAAGTGTCCGAATTACCCGAAATTCGTCCAAATTTATATTCGGAACGACACAAAATGAACATGTCTACTAAACAGCAGTTTGCGGGATAAAACGTACCAGGAAAGGTTAAAGGAACTTAACATGTATAGCTTGGAGGAAAGACGAGACAGGGGGGGATGTGATAAAAACATTTAAATACATAAAGGGAATCAACACAGTAAAGGAGGAGACCATATTTAAAAGAAGAAAAGCTACCACAACAAGAGGACATAGTCTTAAATTAGAGGAGCAAAGGTTTAAAAATAATATCAGCAAGTATTACTTTACTGAAAGGGTAGTGGATGCATGGAATAGACTTCCAGCTGAAGTGGTAGAGGTTAACACAATGAGGAAGTTTAAGCATGCGTGGGATAGGCATAAGGCTATCCTAGACTTAAGATAAGGCCAGGGACTAATCAAAAGTATTTTGAAATATTGAGCAGACTAGATGGGCCGAATGGTTCTTATCTGCCATCACATTCTATGTTTCTATGCGCACACAAGCAAACAGGAAGTCAGAAACTGGCAAGGAAGCAATCACATACAATCCCAGATTCCAATCAGAGAATATTTTTACTATATTTTCAAACTTTGATAATACAATTAGGCCATAGAAACTAGATCACTGATTTTATCATGTGCTTATACAAAATACATACTTTATTGGATTTAAATAAAAAATAATGATTGCTGTATACTTAAGTGTCAGTCCTGAAGCAGGTCTTTTAAATAACCTTTTCTGATAAAATCACTAAACAATCATATGAATAATAATAAATAATAATAAAGCATATTGTGACACGATGCATATATTTGGGACACATTATATCCTCTATAATGACAGGAAAACAAAATACAACATACAGGACTCTTTAAGTGGGCAGTATGCCACAAAATAAATCACTATGTTTTAATCTGCCTCACCCAAGCTAGTCCTACCTGAGCTTTACTGCCAACATGCGGACAAAAGGCTAACTAGTTGTTAATGGAATTTAATTACTTTTCTGGAATATTGTTGCTCCCATTTATGCTTAATGTAACAGATTTTACACATGCCCATTTTCTTTCAATTAGCCCGAAAAAGGATTAATCTACTTATTTCTTTTGCCCAGGTCCTGAAGTCCCACGTCCATCTTGTAGAACCACTGTTTGTCTTTGGAGACACGAGTGCACTACGGAGAATGGAAAGCCAAGGTGTATTCCTCAGAAAGTGGATGCGTGCTGGGCTTCAGGAGACCCCCATTACAATACCTTTGATGTGTATCTCTTTGATTTCATGGGGACATGTACATATACTCTGGTGAATGTCTCTGAAGGTGCTGAGAAGAATCTTAAACGCTTTACAGTTCTGGCCAAAAATGATAATCGAGGAAATACTCGTGTTTCCTATGTGGCTCAGGTGACCTTCAAAACAAGCGGCTACACTATCGATGTCAAGAAAGGGGAAGTTGGCTCTGTGAGAGTGAGTACATAGACAGAACCCATACTTTTTACTAAATTTCCAAAATTACACAAAATATGGTAGAAAAGGAGAATTTACATAGCAACTCTTTAAACCTTTCACATAAAACCAGTGTTTTTTTTTGTTTGTTTTCTTATACATTTTTATTGAGCAAATAGAACTGCCATTTACAGAGCTATATAGAAACATAGAGTAAACATCACTAAACACGCGTATTATACAATATTGCCAAATGAAGACACAGGAATATCACATAGAGGTAGTTGCATGCACAGCGATAGAATGAATTAATGCATCAGCATACATTTAACTATTGCTACAACCAACGGTGTCTCATTCATTTAAGTAAGTATTAGCATTGTATGCAACAATGTACAGGTTACATAGGCTAGAGTGTATCCGTCAGATTCTAAATCTGACAAGCACGGCTTTTCTCATTTATTACTGACCCTTTAAGTGAACTTCATGATCTTCACCTCTAGTGGCCTCCCTAGCCACTAAATCTCTTCACTCACTTTAACATCCTCACCTGTATTAACTAATGAGGAGGCTTCATAAGTCTACACCCTGCACGCAACAGGGCCTTGACATTGAAGTCCGTATTTTCCAACACAGCACTTCTGATCCTGGCTCCTGAAAACATCCTGTAATTATCTGCATTATTTCAATCTGAAGAGGCTTACCTGCTTGATCTACCATATTGAAGATACTTAACTGCTTTAACTGCTGCAACACTGCATGATCCTGTAAGCAACCTGTATTACATTATACTGGAATCTACTTACCTGTCTCAACTGCTGCAACTCTGCATGATCCTGTATTACATTATACTGGCATCTACTTACCTGTCTCAACTGCTGCAACACTGCATGATCCTGTAAGCAACCTGTATCACATTATACTGGAATCTACTTACCTGTCTCAACTGCTGCAGCACTGCATGATCCTGTAAGCAACCTGTATTACATTATACTGGAACCTACTTACCTATCTCAACTACTGCAACTCTGCATGATCCTGTAAGCAACCTGTATTACATTATACTGGCATCTACTTACCTGTCTCAACTGCTGCAACTCTGCATGATCCTGTAAGCAACCTGTATTACATTATACTGGAATCTACTTACCTGTCTCAACTGCTGCAACTCTGCAAGATCCTGTAAGCAACCTGTATTACATTATACTGGCATCTACTTACCTGTCTCAACTGCTGCAACTCTGCATGATCCTGTAAGCAACCTGTATCACATTATACTGGCATCTACTTACCTGTCTCAACTGCTGCAACTCTGCATGATCCTGTAAGCAGCCTGTATTACATTATACTGGAATCTACTTACCTGTCTCAACTGCTGCAACTCTGCATGATCCTGTAAGCAACCTGCATTACATTATACTGGAATCTACTTACCTGTCTCAACCGCTGCAACACTGCATGATCCTGTAAGCAACCTGTATTACATTATACCGGAATCTACTTACCTGTCTCAACTGCTGCAACTCTGCATGATCCTGTAAGCAACCTGTATCACATTATACTGGCATCTACTTACCTGTCTCAACTGCTGCAACTCTGCATGATCCTGTAAGCAGCCTGTATTACATTATACTGGAATCTACTTACCTGTCTCAACTGCTGCAACTCTGCAAGATCCTGTAAGCAACCTGTATTACATTATATTGGAATCTACTTACCTGTCTCAACTGCTGCAACTCTGCATGCTCCTGTAAGCAACCTGTATTACATTATACTTGAATCTACTTACCTGTCTCAACCGCTGCAACACTGCATGATCCTGTAAGCAACCTGTATTACATTATACTGGAATCTACTTACCTGTCTCAACCGCTGCAACTCTGCATGATCCTGTAAGCAACCTGTATTACATTATACTGGAATCTACTTACCTGTCTCAACTGCTGCAACACTGCATGATCCTGTAAGCAACCTGTATTACATTATCCTGGAATCTACTTACCTGTCTCAACTGCTGCAACTCTGCATGATCCTGTAAGCAACCTGTATTACATTATACTGGAATCTACTTACCTGTCTCAACTGCTGCAACTCTGCATGATCCTGTAAGCAACCTGTATTACATTATACTGGAATCTACTTACCTGTCTCAACTGCTGCAACTCTGCATGATCCTGTAAGCGACCTGTATTACATTATACTGGAATCTACTTACCTGTCTCAACTGCTGCAACACTACATGATCCTGTAAGCGACCTGTATTACATTATACTGGAATCTACTTACCTGTCTCAACTGCTGCAACACTGCATGATCCTGTAAGCAACCTGTATTACATTATACTGGAATCTACTTACCTGTCTCAACTGCTGCAGCACTGTATGATCCTGTAAGCAACCTGTATTACATTATACTGGAATCTACTTACCTGTCTCAACTGCTGCAACACTGCATGATCCTGTAAGCAACCTGTATTACATTATACTGGAATCTACTTACCTGTCTCAACTGCTGCAACACTGCATGATCCTGTAAGCAACCTGTATTACATTATACTACAATCTACTTACCTGTCTCAACTGCTGCAACACTGCATGATCCTGTAAGCAACCTGTATTACATTATTCTGGAATCTACTTACCTGTCTCAACCGCTGCAGCACTGCATGATCCTGTAAGCAACCTGTATCACATTATACTGGAATCTACTTACCTGTCTCAACTGCTGCAACTCTGCATGATCCTGTAAGCAACCTGTATTACATTATACTGGCATGCCCCGCATAGCCCTCAGCACTGCCGCAGCTCTGCGCTGATCCGCAATAGCAGCCTGTATTACATTATGCGGAATCTGCCTGTCTCCGGCTACCCGCAGCTCGCAAGATCACTGCCGACAACCTGTATTACATTATATTAGAATCTGCTTACCTGTCTCAACTGCTGCAACTCTGCGCCCAGTCACCAGCAAACAGCCTGTATTTGCGACTATAAGAATCCCTGCGCAACCTGCTTCGCTGCAACTCGCGTCCTGTAAGCTTAACCCACCCTGTATTACATTATACTGGAATCTACTTACCTGTCTCAACTACTGCAACACTGCATGATTATGTAAGCAACCTGTATTACATTATACTGGAATCTACTTACCTGTCTCAACTACTGCAACACTGCATGATCCTGTAAGCAACCTGTATTTCATTATACTGGAATCTACTTACCTGTCTCAACTACTGCAACACTGCATGATCCTGTAAGCAACCTGTATTACATTATACTGGAATCTACTTACCTGTCTCAACCGCTGCAACACTGCATGATCCTGTAAGCAACCTGTATTACATTATACTGGAATCTACTTACCTGTCTCAACTGCTGCAACTCTGCATGATCCTGTAAGCAACCTGAATTACATTATACTGGAATCTACTTACCTGTCTATACTGCTGCAACTCTGCATGATCCTTTAATCAACCTGTATTACATTATATTAGAATCTACTTACCTGTCTCAACTGCTGCAACTCTGCATGATCCTGTAAGCAACCTGCATTACATTATACTGGAATCTACTTACCTGTCTCAACTGCTGCAACTCTGCATAATCCTGTAAGCAAACTGTATTACATTATACTGGAATCTACTTACCGATCTCAACTGCTGCAACACTGCATGATCATGTAAGCAACCTGTATTACATTATACTGGAATCTACTTACCTGTCTCAACTGCTGCAACACTGCATGATCCTGTAAGCAACCTGTATTACATTATACTGGAATCTACTTACCGATCTCAACTGCTGCAACACTGCATGATCCTGTAAGCAAACTGTATTACATTATACTGGAATCTACTTACCGATCTCAACTGCTGCAACACTGCATGATCATGTAAGCAACCTGTATTACATTATACTGGAATCTACTTACCTGTCTCAACTGCTGCAACACTGCGCCGATCACCATGCAAGCAGCACCAGCCCATTACATTATGCACAGGAATCTGCCTGTCTCAACGGCTGCAACACTGCGCTGATCCTGCCAAGCAGCCATGTACATTATACTGGAATCTGCACCTGTCTCAGCTGCTGCAGCTCTGCGCGGTCCTGTAAGCAGCCATATTACATTATACTGGAATCTGCCCACGCAATACTCCAGCTGCTGCAGCTCTGCACTTGATCACCAAGCAACCTGTATTACATTATACTGGAATCTACTTACCTGTCTCAACTGCTGCAACTCTGCATAATCCTGTAAGCAAACTGTATTACATTATACTGGAATCTACTTACCTGTCTCAACTGCTGCAACTCTGCATAATCCTGTAAGCAACCTGTATTACATTATACTGGAATCTACTTACCTGTCTCAACTGCTGCAACTCTGCATGATCCTGTAAGCAACCTGTATTACATTATACTGGAATCTACTTACCTGTCTCAACTGCTGCAACTCTGCATAATCCTGTAAGCAAACTGTATTACATTATACTGGAATCTACTTACCTGTCTCAACTGCTGCAACTCTGCATGATCCTGTAAGCAACCTGTATTACATTATACTGGAATCTACTTACCTGTCTCAACTGCTGCAACACTGCATGATCCTGTAAGCAACCTGTATTACATTATACTGGAATCTACTTACCTGTCTCAACTGCTGCAACTCTGCATGAACCTGTAAGCAACCTGTATTACATTATACTGGAATCTACTTACCTGTCTATACTGCTGCAACTCTGCATGATCCTTTAATCAACCTGTGCTATATTATACTTAACCCCTTAAGGACCAAACTTATGGAATAAAAGGGAGTACCAGCTTTAACTCTTTCAACCATGTATCATCCTGAACCTGGCTGCAGTGTGACATTCCGCAAACTACTAATCTATTAGGGAATAACGTCAAACCTACTTGTATATAAAAGGCTTTATTCATTTTCTTTCAAGATATCCTGTTTGTTGCATATTACCTTGATTCTGTTTTACTCTCAAAGTATCCTGTTTGTGGCAGATTGCCTTAATC